TTTCACTGCCAATTTAATGGGTAACATTTTCTATACATTGGTGAAAATATCCTTAACTGCACAGTCGAACTGAAAATATTCCTGTTATTAAATACTTGTTATGTAGGCAGTTTCTTTAAGTTATTTCTGCAAAGGAAAGTTTGGACTTTTCTGAAAATCAGTTTTCCTATCAATTTTTTGACATTGTGTTGTACAGAGAGCAAGTGAAGGTTTTATTTCAAAACTTGAAATAAAAATGTATCAAATTTAAGACTTTTGGAGGTTGGTTATTGTTCAGATGCTAATATAATTCAGTTAGAAAACAATTTGTATCAGTCATTGATTTTACTTTAAAGAAAGAATTAAACAAAATATTTTGTCATGCATTTAAAGTCAAAAGGGTTTATTATTTTTATATTCATTCAAATTAATAGAAATATGTGCATATATCTTTGTTTTCCTTTTCACTATTCTTATTTTCCTAAAATATTCTCCAGTATTAGAAATTTAATGAATGTATATACTCTGCCAGTCATTATATTCATTATTTATGGACATGCTAATAGAATATATTGTAAAACTTTATTATTGTATGGAGTGTCCTTATTTTAGAATGAATCCATTTGTTCTAGCAATTAATCTTACTATTAATTGATTCTTAACCAATTTATGTTTGATGTGAAAGCTTCATATGAGAGTCAAGCATAACTGTCAACAGGATCTCTTGTAGTTATAGAATTTTCTCTATTATCTGAAATCAAAATACACCAGTATGTGGTGAAGACCATAACCTCTGGTTCACACCATGTGTTTTAGTCTTGAGCACTGTTACTCAGTACCTGCCAAGCTAATAACACAAACAAAACCCTTTTTGGCAGATGACTCATAAAACATTAACCACTGGTTTTCATTAGATTACTTTTATTATTATTCCTAAATCAGCATTTTTAAAAACAAAGTCACAAAATCTGTTTTTTTAGGTACAACTCCCTACTTGCAACCCTGAGACATTATTGGGGGGAAAAATCATTACATTACTAGTGAGTAGAGTGGATAGGACATTCCTGGTCCTGTAATGCTGCTGCTTATAATGCTGACTGCCTGCTAGTGGGCTGTATGACCAGTTCTCCTTTGGGAACAGAGCTTCACATTTGCTCAGTTGACTGAGGGAGCGATTGCTAATGAAGAGAACAGGGCTCCAAAGGATGAAAATTACGTATGAGCATCGATTTTAATTTACTAGATGCATTGACTTCAAATTATACAAAAGGCCTTTGAGTCAACATCTCTTTGATCTCAGACACTTCTCTTGTCTAATGAAAAATAAAGCAGTAAAGAAAATTGTTCTCATAACGGTCAGAAAAATGAATCTATATTGAACAGTACAGCCTTTTTATTTATTTATTTTTTGAATTGATTTCAGAGAGAAAGGGAGAGAGAGAAAAAGATAGAAACATCAGTGATGAGAGAATCATTGATTGGCTGCCTCCTGCACACTCCCCACTGGGGATTGAGCCCCCAACCCGGCATGTGCCCTGACTGGGAATCAAACCATGACCTCCTGGTTCATGGGTCGATGTTTAACCACTGAGCCATGCCAGCTGGGCAGCACTGCTTTTTTTTTTAGAAGATTTTAGAAAATGGAAAATTTTAAAAATATAATGGTTTTATATTTCTCATATAGAGGCAAGCCCAAAGCAAAATACATGAAAGCAAACTGGAGAGAATATGTGTAGGAATTTACCTCAGGTGGCAATATAGAGATGGGTCGGTGTAATATTCAGAATTTCCCAGTTAGCTGAGCCTTATTCTCTTAGCACAAGGAAGCCAGGTGCCTGAGGATGGGAGCTGGAGCCAGGGCACAAAAGTGTATGTTTTCTCTTTCGGTAATGTGCTCAAAGTCATATGGCACCCGGCTGAATACACACATTTCATCAAAAACAGCTTCCTGAACTATCCTTTGTACCCATAAAAATACGAAGTTATTGTTGCCTCTGATCACTTCAGTTAAACAGAATAAATCAAGACGGGGAAATTGAAATCCACATATTAATGCAGGTAGAAGGAAGAAATGATTAGAATAATAGATGCTAAAGAGTAAATTTAAAATGAGTTTTCAAAACAAAAGATGGTACTGAAAAATAGGGGGCAGTTGAAAAGCACTTGGTAAACTAACTTGTGCTTAAGTAAAAATAAAATAAAGCTTAGAAAGTTTTCTGAAAAGAACAGATGCATGAAACACGAATCACGTATAACTAAGTTGACCATGTGTCCCATTTTGCCAGGCATGGTCCACTTAGTACCTGGTGTCTGGCCTGCCCTGGGTGATTAGTCCCTTCTTGAATAAATGCAATAAACCATCCCCACCAACATTAAAAACCTTGTACTAAATCTTAATCTGTAGTTGCCTTGCTTGTTCTCACAATATGATCCTCCGTGAGCATTTGTAAAATCTTCCAAGTGACTAAAGAACTTGTCTTATTCTTTCTTTCCCCAACAAATTGAAATATTTCTATAAATTGAAAGAATGCATTCCTGGCATTATTCTGGGGGGAAAAACAACGGTTGGAGGCCATTTCAATTTTGTGGAAGAGAATGGGGTCTTTTTCAAAATAATTCAGGGCAAAACAGGATAATAAAGCTATTTGCAGAGCACCTGGAGAATGCTAGCCAGTTTGAAGTGTCTATGATTTCCTCGGGGAGTATATGCATATCAGAATTATTTCCTACTGTGCCGAAGTAGGTGATGGGAGGGAACAGAATATGTTCACTAATAAATAGCTGACCTTTAAACAAAATTGGTTGACTGAAAATGCATGAATTTTAGAATATAAAAATTGATTTGAAATTTTTGGTCCTTTTCTCCTTGCTTGAAGTTTTAGTGCTTTTTCCTTAAATGTTAATTTAGTGTTTTTAATGTAGAATAGTTTATTATTTTTATTTTTAATCTCCACAATATCAACTGTCATTTGTCAGTAAGAGTGTAGCCAGTAATTCAGATACTTACCTTATCAGTAGTCTAGTTTCCCTCACATGGAAATCATTGGTTGTTCTGTAAGTTTTTCAGAAAGCAAAGAGTAAAGAGTTAGATCCGGTGTAGGAATCAGCATGCAGATGTCACAGACAGGTCTGCTTCCCTTCGTACCAAACACAGCCTGGGTATTGTAGACTACACATGGATCTCCAGATTATAACTCACAAATAAGTAATTCGTTTTTCTTCATTTCTGTAAAAATATTAAAATATAAATATATATATCCCCACAAAGAAGCACAACAATATGTTTCAGGGACCTCACATGACACTGTCAGGGAGCACTGATTTGATGAGTGGCATTTAAAGATCTGGTTGATTTAATGGGCATAGTGCTTGGAAAATCAAATGCCGTTGGGATACTTGGGGGCAATAGCTGTGGGCTCCCAATGGCCACACTGCCATGCATGGTTCTCATAGAGGGACTTGGGACAAGCATTTAGAGATATAATCACACTTAGATTAATCAGCTAAAGGCTAAGGGCATCTTTATGGTACCCTCTTTTGGAAAGTGAGATTCGTGTTGAATATATGCAGATATTACAGTAGAGACTCTCAGAAACACATGTTTGGTCCGCATATGGGTGGGTAATCACCTGAAAGAGGCAGAAACTCTTAAGGGCCCCAAGTAATTTCATGTCAGGGTCAGAGAAAGAGCTTTACTGTCTGGTATATACATTTAATTTCAATATTTTTAATAAGTCTCAATAGAGATTCTCCTTTTGGTTATTTTTGGGCAAGCTTAAGAGGCTATATGTCCCTAAATAATAAGCACCAAATGAGGTTTTAAATATTTTCAACCTTAATATCACATATAGAAGCATCTCATCCTAATGGAAGAGCCCTGAACTGTGGAGTCAGACTCACCTGAGCTCAGGCAATGGCCGGGCTAGGTCTGGTTGGGTGAATCACTGAGCAGTGTAAGCCCCTTGCCCGCAGCTTTTCCTCACTGAAGACAGGGGGTGAGGCTCCCTCCCTGCAGAGTCCCTGCCGGAAAGTGAGAATAAGAGCAAGAAGCCTGTCCCTGGCATATTATAGATGTTTAATCAATCTCAAGCTAAGTGTTTATTCCTTTTTCCCTGTTAGAAATATCTATACTACTTTCTAAGAACATGAAAATCTTTTATATAACTGTTATTTAGCACTTTTAAAAAGTGAGGACATCTATTATATAAAAGTTAGTAAAATATCCTAGGATAAATCCATTCTCTATCATTAGTAAGTCCTGAAAAGACATAGGGATGGTGGGAAGTTAGACCTCTTCCTGTGGTTATTACAGCAGCTTCCATGAAGTAGCATCTGACGCCAAACATAAAATAATACTGCTTTTCTAAATATATTTATTTTCCTAAGGCCAAATTGTATTAAATGAGAACTGTTGAAAGATGTTCATTGGTTTTATTTTATATTGTAATTGGTTAGAATTGTATTTGCTGTTAACTTATACATTTTTATTGATTGTATTTTAATTGATTATTGGAGTCAGAGGAAATACCAAATTCATCCATTGAATTCATGGCTAAATAGACATATTTTAGGCCACTGGAAAGAAGCTATCAACAAGTTATGAAATTTGTATATGGCATTTGCTTTCACCGTATGTGCTCTTTTCGTTATGGGCACAGGGTTTCTGATCTTACAGTTAGGGCTTCCTGACTTTCACTGCAGCAGGGCCGTGTCCTGGGTACCCAGGAGCACTGCCATGAGCCTCTCGGATGAGCTGACCATTGATTGTGGTGGCTCATATTTACGTCTGTGCTCTACTTTTGGGGGCAAATGTAGTCTCCTTTGGAAAACATAGTAAGTTCAACAATCTCTACACACATAGGAAAGAGGTGAGAAATGAGATTTTCTGCAGTTTGGAAATCTGCAAGTTCTGTTTTCACATAATGACATTTGGTGTCATGGGTTGTTGGGGTTGTTAAGCAGGAGCTCAAATCAAGCCCTTGCTGTTATGATCAAGAGTTCTTCTTGGCTTTGTTTTCCAGGGCCAGCCAGGGGACCAGGCTGCTCTGTTTGCTGCACAAGCACGGCCCTCCCCTCAGCTCCCCCAGTATCCAGGGCTGCAGCAAGCACAGGTACCCACAGTGGCTTCATAGATGCTACGGGGATTTTTTTTTTAACCAAAAAAGTGGGATTTTTAATCTCTTTATTTGAAGTGGGAAACGGAGTAAATAGGGTGTCAACTGCTTTATGGGTCTCGAACTTAGTTACTCCTGCATTACCAGTGATTGTTGAACAAGTGTCAGGATTAATTAATTTAAAGAACACATTTTAGGAAATTCTTTAATTGAAAACATAAATTCAAACCTCTATTAATGATTTTTGTAGGTATTTAAATGCTTAACAGTCCCAAAATACTTATGTTATAATACAAAATGATATCATTCATGCTTGAATTTGTCACATTAAAAGATAGTTTCAAAGAGTATAATAAGAAGGGAATTGGCCTTGACATCAGACCTTGGCAACATTCTTGGCAACTTGCTAGCTGTGGAACAATGTGCAAATTACTCTCAGTCTTGGTTCCCTTCTCTGTAAAAGAGAGGGCACACTGGGTATTTAGGGCAGCCGTGCTGCACCCAGTTCACAGCAGCCGCTCAACAAGTGGTAGGCTTGCCTTCATATAATGTGAATCTGGAGCTGTTTTTCTAATAATTTTGTTTTTTCTGCATCCATGTACTTTTACCCTGTCGCTCCCATAATCAGGAGCTGGGATGTTGGTAAGACAGCTAGTTGGGGCTAGCAGCTCATACTTTGTCCACAGCTCAAAGGAGAGCGAGGTTGGCCTTCGCAGGCACGGAACCCTACAGGCTGGTTCCATTCATGCTGCCTGCTGGAAATTCATTACACATTATTCTGTCTTCCAAGCCAGTGCCATTACACTACCTTAAAATATGGTACTTTCAGGATTTGAACAGCAGTCCTCTTCTACTCTAGTCAGCATTCTATTCTATAAAGTATAGTGATCTAGTGAACCTCAGGTTTTTCATTTACATTAGATGTCAAATTTAGAGAAACAGACATGTGTATGCTAATATTGCATAGAAAAATAAAGTATTCAGATGACTGGTACAGTGCAGAACTGGGCTTCAGTCCAACCAGGACTAGAGGGTAGTGAATAGTCATCTATTACATCCTTACTCTGGTAAGATATTAATGTTGGTTTTTTTTATAACTGGTTAGTTACTCCAGGCTCATTCATCAGATTTAGGGAAGTCACATATTAGGAAAGTGTACACCATTATTTTAATATACATGAGCATGGGGGCAGCTCTTCTGAGTAAGTTTTGAAGTGGCATTACTGATGCTTGGGTCTGTTGAGCACTGATGTCATCTGTGCATAAGAGGAATGAATGCTTGTCTATAAGGAAACATGCACTTTCTCCTTCAGAATAAGCAAGCAACTGATCTTAAAACTAATCTCTTAACCACATGAGGATTCTTTTTTTTTTTTAAATTGTATTTTCTGGTAAATCATTATGTAACCAGTTCATTCTGTAGCTTTCTGATTAGCCTCTCTGCCTTCATGGCATCTCTTTCATACTTTGAGTCATAAAAACATTTGAGAATAGTGAATTTCAGGGGGCTTCTCCTGGGTTTACCCCTATATAGCTTAGCAATAAGAAAGCTGGTGGTAAATAAAAACACTGACTTTGTTCCTTGTGTCTGCCTGCAGGCCATGCCCCAAGGCTATACTATGTATGGAACACAGATGCCTTTGCAGCAGACCCCGCAGCAGCAGGCTGGCAGTGTGGTCCTGTCCCCCAGCTATAACTCCAGAACCTACCCGGTTGCGCATTCCAACCCTACACTGATGGAAAGACTCAGACAGATGCAGCAGCCGCCCAGTGGCTATATTCAGCAACAGGCCTCGCAGTACCTGCAGCCTCTGACTGGCTCCCAGAGGTAACATATCTAGAAACAATGATTGCAGTAGTGGACACAGCTCTTTGTTATGTTTCTTCTAGAGCATGGCACTTATATTGTTTTTGTGAACTTGCATATTTATATATAATTTAAATTATGTCATCTTATTTTTAGGAGCACCCAGAGATTCAAAATAAGTAATGGCCCATCTTGTTTATTTTATTAAAGGCTCCTATAATTTGATTCATATCTTCCATAGAATGGGTGTAATATATTTAGATGAAACCACTATATTTAGAATATACCATTATATTTAGATGGGTGTAATATATTTAGATGATACCACTATATTAGTTCTAATGTTCTTTCTTTTCCCTTCTTTTAAAAAAGGTCTTTTTGGCTAAAAATATCTAAGTTTAAAAAAATGTTGGTTAATGTTAGCAATGCCTTACTAGAATGTCTTGAACAGAGCCATAAAGTCTATGATTACAATACTCATTGTACCTGGTGCCTACAAGACTTTTCTTAGATTTTAATTTTTACCTTTTCCACGTCAGGGATGGTTGGCAAAGCAGGGTCATGAAAGACCTCTTCTCAGTTCTTGCTTAATCAGATCCCTTAGATATAGTATGTAACTTCATTGTCCATTAGAGTAGCCAGCAGCCACATATGGCTATTTCAATTTAAACAAATTAAAGTTCAATTTAAAACTTAGTCCCTCAGTTACACTAGTCACACTTGAAGTGGTCAGTAGCCACGTGTAGCCAGCAGGGCCAGCATCGGAGATGTGTGACCAGTACAGTCACACCGGTGACTGTGTTTAGAGGACCCACATTTGATGCAATACTCTACTGTCACCTTCTTGAAATTCTAATTTTTGATCAGGAAACCTTGCAGTTTATTTTGCACCGAGGCTCAGAAATTATGTAGCTAGTTTTGGTGGCCAGCGCAGATATAGAATATTTCAGTCATCATACAACATTCTAGGGATGGCATTAATCTAGAAGAATTAAGTGTCACGCACAATTTTGTGCGACGGTAGATAGTAGCCTAGCTTCATGTATTATCAATGTTGCACGCTAACCCTAAGTAATCACTATTTGAAAAGTGGACAAGGTTGATGGTAGCACATTTGGGAAGATAAAAAAAAAATTGGAAAACAATTTTAATAAGTGGCATCATTGCACATTGCCCAAGAATTTGAACTTTACACTTGATCTTAGCCAAAAGGCCGAGAAGCGATAGAATTTGAACTTTAAAGCCCCAAAGTTCTGGGTTTAAATCTCACCTGTGCCATTTTCTATCTGGATTACTTTGGCATGTTACTTCTCTAGCTCTCTGTTTATTCACTTTTAAAGGGGAGATAACAAAACTACTGACCTCAGAGGGCCGCTGTGAAGAGTCAATGAAATAACACCGTTCAGACTTTTACCACAGTGCCTACTCCAGAATAAATGCTCAGTTAATGTCACTTGTTACTGAAAACTATTAACAATTTTTAATCATGCATGTTCTTTTTCAAGTGATCCCATCTACCCCTGGGGATCCAGATTATCTTAACCACTGACCTTTACTGAATTTGAATTGTATAAGTAATTATTAAACACAGCCGTTTCTCTGTGAATGTGTGTGATGTGCTTGCTAGCAGTGCCCATTAAAAATGTGGCAGTGTGCTTGGGCCTGAAACCAGCTGTGTTCTTTCCAGACTGAATCATCAGTCCCTTCAGCAGAGCCCTCTGATGGGTGGAGGAGTCGATGCAGTGCTGACTCCCACACATCCGAACCTGCCGTCAGTGCCGCTGCCTCAGGACCCTATGCGGCCCAGACAGCCGCAGGTGCGACAGCAGCAGAGGCTCCTCCAGGTATGGGTCTGGGAGGTGAGGTCAGTACCTGGCGGGTCCTTAGCAGTTACGAGGAATAACAGGCACTTCAGACTTTAATTGCCAAGTTCCAAGGAACACTGTGTATTTGACAGCAGGACTAAAGTGGTATAATTTCGTTTCAACTTGACCAGAGTCTTCCTATGTGAATATGCCAGGTCACAGCAGGAGCGTACATTTTGCAGAGCATCCTTCCCCTTTCACTAAGCTTCACGGTAGCCGATGCCATTATATTGGTAGGGTGAGCCTCAGCTTACTCAGTCATTTAATTAGAGGCCATGCAAAATGAATGCAAAATTCCTTATATGTATTTTTTTTTAAAGCTGTCTAGAGCTTTTATCATATTTCTAGAGGGGTCTGTAATCCAAAAAAATTTCTATAGTATCTCTGGTCTAATTGGACTATGAAGTTGGCATTAAATAAGTAGAATATTTCAAAGAAATATTTCATCTTGACTGTTAGAATCCAGAGAGCTATCCTTTAATTATTTGAAATTAATTTTAGGTCTCCTTGCTTCTAACTTCCTCGTTTATGAAATATAGGCATTATGTTCACCTGTTCCATTGGTCTTCCTTATGTGTGAGTCTGTCCTTGTTGGGTTGGAGATTGCCTGGTGAGTCTGTACAGTGCCCTCCCATCTTACCAGCAGTCCAGCTTGAGATGCTCAGTCATTTTATGTTTTACTAAGAAAGAAAAGAAAAGCACCAAAACACGGGACTCTAGTTCCCTGGTGAACGGTCAGTGAGGAATAAACCCGCCCGCAGGAGGGACAGGAACAGAACTTGATGTCTCAACCAAGGACTGGTGCTTATATTCCCTCTGTTTCAAAATTTCACAGTTTCAAATCACTGAGGAAAGTTATTACATTTATTTCTTTACTTATTACCTTCTGTCTTACATTGGTGTTTTTTAAGGCTGCAAATCTGGAAAAGTTAATATTCCCTTTTTACCCCAATTAGCATACTATGTCCCTCTGGTAATTTTTTGCCTTAACAACACATTCCCTAGAGAAAAAGAGAAGTGATTTGTTTTTGCATCAGGATGACCATTATTTCTTTTCTGGTGATGAAGTTGGGTTCATTTGTCTTGGCAGAGTTCACAGAGTCAGTGGAAAACTGCTTCCCTATTGTAAGCATTGTTCACACTGGGGAAACCCGTCCAGATCTCTGCTTGGATTCCACATCCATGTGCATTGTCACTTAGAAGTGCCAACAGGCAGTATCTATTTATTGCATTGCCCTAAAGAAGAAAAATAAATTGGAGGATAGTATACACACCGAGTTGGAAAATGCAAAGGATGAAAAGAAGTCTGGCGGTGTCCTCATCAAAATGAATGTTTGGGTGGAGGAAACTGAAGGTCCTTGAGACAGACCATCTGCTAGGATTTTCCTCTCATTCTCTGTGTTTCCTCTGTGACTTGGAAGTGTTTCCAAGAGTTCTGCATTTCTGCCAACTGTCACAGACACAATTTATGATTTTATTCTCGTAATTTATGCCAGAGCTTCCCATATCTACAATTACTTTAAAAACAAACTAATCTTCTGGAGTTCTTTAAGAACAACTCCTTTGTTTCCTCCTCCTTATCTATCTTTATTTTCATCTTCCTTAAAAAACAAAAAAGAAACACCACAAATGAATCTTCTAGTTCATCCAGATGTCACAGGGAATGAAAAGGTAACTACGAGCACTCCTTGTCTAACGTGGTAGTATAAGAAGGATAAGATATATGGAAGGCAGACAACATGAAAGGAGTTGACAGTGAGTTTAGAGCAGGTACTGGGACAACGCAGGACAGGATAGACAGAGAATGCTGTGACTACTGAAGGGTGAGGTCCAAGAGGGCTTCATGGAGGAGGAGATTTAGGTCTTTCCCTTGAAAGATGAGCAGTTTGGCAAGGCTGCTATGGAAGAGGCTGGTGTGTATTATTTTGCCGCAACAACATAATTAAATAAAAGGCATATGGGAAGAGAAGACTGGAATATTAACCCCTCTGTTTAGTATAAAATCCTTTTTCTTTCTAGATGCAGCAGTCCCAGCAGCCCCCGCAGCCCCAGCCGTCCTCGCAGCCCCAGAGCCAGCCCCTCAGTCTGCAGGCCGTGCAGCCCCAGCAGCCATTGGTAAGGCCTGGTGCTTCCAAATCAAACATGGGGGCATTTTCCTTAAAGTCTGTTTGCATTTTTCATGTCCCATAATAGTGTTAACAATTAAAATAGCCTAAATATATTCTAGCAATTTCCCCAGAACTTTATCAGAGTGGGATGATATTGATGTTGTAGTTGATGTATTAGTTTTCATAGAAAGCTACAAATAAATGTTTGGGATTTAGTAGATCATACTATTTTTCCTTTTCAAGTTTTTCCAGACATCTCTATGAACTAAAATATTTATATTCAGACACAAAAATATTTTTATAATTTAACGATATATATAGTTCAGAAGATTATCTTCCTGTGAATTTTTACTATAATTTCAAAAAAGCATGAGAGTGCTTTCTGAAATATTATCTTTACTGATGTAAAAAAAAAAAATACTGATTTCAGCAGTTAGCATTTGCTGCAGGAATTTTCAAGTAATTCATAAGTGTTTACTTCTCTGGCTTTGTGAACCGAACTTTGAAATGTGCATCAGTGAACATTTGCAAACCTCAGAACTTACAGCAGCCTTTACTTTTGCAAATGCTGTAGCCCTGCTTTATTTTGACTTAACCTTTTTCTTTAAATTGCCTCTTTTTCTGTTTACCTAAATGTATTCTAAAAAGGATCATTTTCTCACTGCCATCAGTGGTCACATCACTTGCTACATATTGGAAATACCTGTAAAATACTTACTCTGCAGGTAATTCAGCAATGTGAGCTGTGTGCGTGAGTACTACCTAGACCAGTGATGGCGAACCTTTTGAGCTCGGCGTGTCAGCATTTTGAAAAACCCTAACTTAACTCTGGTGCCATGTCACATATAGAAATTTTTTGATATTTGCAACCATAGAAAAACAAAGATTTATATTTTTGATATTTATTTTATATATTTAAATGCCATTTAACAAAGAAAAATCAACCAAAAAAATGAGTTCGCGTGTCACCTCTGACACGCGTGTCATAGGTTCGCCATCACTGACCTAGATAGAGGGAGCTGGCTGCTGCCCATTTTACACTTTGGGAAACTGGTGTCTCTTTTCAAGACAGAATTTGAATGTGGATGGTTTCATAACTTGTAGTAAAGAAGGAACAATATGGCCGGGACTAGAGTACATTAGGAGGGATCAGAGTAGAGTTAGGGGAGACAGGTCTGATATACACGAGTAGGGCTGCTAAGGGAACATGGTCAGCTGGACTAAGACATTCTGTGGACATTTGACAAGCCCCTGCTTTGCTCAGTTTGATCTCCATTTAAAAAGAAATTATCTTTATTGTTGAAAATATTACAGATGTCCCTTTTTTCCCCTCATTGACCCCTCCATCCTGTTCCTACCCCACACCCAAGGCCTTCATCACACTATTATCTGTGTCCATGGGTTATAGACATCCTATATAATAAAAGGCTAATATGCAAATAGACCGAACAGCAGAACAACCGGTCGCTATGACGCACACTTACCACCAGGGGGCAGACACTAAACACAGGAGTTGTCCCCTGGTGGTCAGTGCGCTCCCACAGTGGGGAGTGCCACTCAGCCAGAAGCCCTGAGCTGGGCTTATAGCTGGCAAACACAGCGGCAGCACTAAGGAGTCTGACTGCTGGCTTAGGGAGTCCCCTGGAGGGAGCCGGCCTAAGCCGTCAGACAGACATCCCCTGAGGGCTCCTGGACTGTGAGAGGGCACAGGCAGGGCTGAGGGACCCACCGAGTGCATGAATCTCATGCACTGGGCCTCTAGTATTCATATAAGTTATCTGGTTAATCTCTTCCCTCCTCCCTCCTCCACTTTCCTCTGAAATACGTCCATGTGTTGCATGCTTCAATGTCTCTGGTTCCATTTTGTTCATCAGTTTATTTTGTTCATTAGATTCCACATATAAGTGATATCATGTGATACTTTTCTTTCTCTGTCTGGCTTATTTCACTTAGCATAATACTCTCCAGGTCCCTCCATGCTGTCCGAAAGGGTAAGAGATCCTTCTTTTTTACAGTTGCATAGTATTCCATGGTGTGAATGTATCACAGGGTTTTTCATCTACTCATCTACTGTTGGGCACTTGGGCTGTCTCCATATCTTAGCTATTCTATATATTAAAAGCCTAATATGCCAATCGAGCTCTGTCCATTTTCACATTGTACTTTTGTTAAATAAACTTTAGTAAAGAAAAAAAGAACAGCCACTATGATCTCCATTTTTTAAGGAAATTCTTTATCATGAATCTAGTTTATTTTTAGCTCTGATTCTTTTTTTTTTAATGTGTCTGACATTTACTGCAATCTACCTTCAAAATGCTGTACAAGTAGAGTAATATATAAATATTCACAGACTTCTACTTTATCCTCATGGGTGTATTAGCATGGGTTGGCTGACTGTTCCTTTCAAATGTGGAAGGGAATCCTTTGGATGGGATACTGCTAGCTCACTCTAACGTCTCTCCTAAGAACAAGATATAACTTTGCATTTTGTAATAATTTCTTTAAAAACAAAACAAAACAGGATTTTTTTTTTTTCAGAGAGGAAGGGAGAGGAAGAGAGAGTCAGAAACATCAATGATGAGAGAGAATCATTGATTGGCTGTCTCCTGCACTCCCCTTAATGGGGATCAAGCCCGCAACCCAGGCATGTGCCCTTGACCAGAATCAAACCCTGGACCCTTCAGTCCGCAGGCCTATGCTCTATCCACTAGCCAAACCAGCTAGAGCTGAAATAATTTCAAACTTACAGAAGAGTTGCAAGAATAATAAAAAGTATTGCCATAAACAGTTCACCCAGATTCACTAATTATGAACATTTTGCCACATTTGTGTGTTTTTTTAATTAATCTTTATTGTTGAGATTATTACAGATGTCCCTCTTTTTTCCTCCCATAGCTCCCCTCCACCGGGACCCACCCCACCCCAAGCCCTCGCCACTGTATTGTCTGTGTCCATAGGTAATGCATACATGCATATAAGATCTTTGTCTAATCTCTTCTTGCACCCCCCACACCCTCTTCCCTCTGAGAATCATCAGTCTGTTCCATTTCCATGGCTCTCATGCTATTCCATTCATCAGTTTATTCTGTTCATCAGATTATTTATTCACTTGATTTTTAGATTCACTTGTTGATAGATGTGTATTTGTTGTTCATATTTTTTATCTTTACCTTTTTCTTCTTCTTCCTCTTCTTAATGAATACCCTTCAGTATTTTATATAATACTGGTTTAGTGGTGATGAACTCCTGTAGCTTTTTCTTGTCTGTGAAGCTCTTTATCTGACCTTCAATTCTAAATGATAGCTTTGCTGGGTAGAGTATTCTTGGTTGTAGGTTCTTGGTATTCATCACTTTGAATATTTCTTGCCACTCCCTTCTGGCCTGCATAGTTTCTGTTGAGAAATCAGCTGACAGTCGTATGGGCACTCCCTTGTAGGTAACTAATTGTTCTTCTCTTGCTGCTTTTAAGGTTCTCTTTTTGTATTTTTCCCTTTGCATTTTAATTATGAGGTGTTTTGGTGTGGTCCTCTTTGGATTCCTCTTGTTTGGGGTTCTCTGTGTTTCCTGGACTTGTAAGTCTATTTCTTTCACCGGGTAGGGGAGGTTTTCTGTCATTATTTCTTCAAATAGGTTTTCAGTATCTTGCTCTCTCTCTTCTTCTGGCATCCCCATAATTCGGATATTGGTATGCTTGAAGTTGTTCCAGAGACTCCTTACACTATCTTCATATTTTTTCTTTCTTTCTTTCTTTCTTTTTTTTTTTTTTTGCTCTTCTGGTTGGGTGTTTTTTGCTTCCTCATATTTCAAATCATTGATTTGATTCTCAAGATCCTCTAATCTACTGTTGAATCCCTTTATATTATTCTTTATTTCAGTCAGTGTATACTTAATTTCTGACTGGTCCTTTTCCTTTTTTTTTTTTTTTTTTGGCATTCTCACTAAGATTTTTGAAAGTCTCACTAAGTTCCTCGGAGGTTTCTAGAAGATTCCTGAGTAACCTTATAACCGTGGTTTTGAATTCTGTATCAGTAGTTTGCTTTCTTCCCTTTCTTTCATTTGTGACATGTCTTTGTCTCCATATTTTAGGTGCGTCCCTATGTTTGTTTCTATGTATTGGGTAGCTGTTAAGTCTCCTTGAGTTGATAGAGTGGCCTTGTGTAGTAGGTGTCCTATAGGGCCCAGTGGCTCAGCCTCCCCAATAACCTGAGGTGGACACTCTTAGTGCACCCCTTTATGGGTTGTATGCACAGTTTTGTTGTAGTTGAGCCTTGATTGCTGTTGGTGTCACTGGGAGGAATTGACCTCCAGGCCAATTGGCTGTGGGGACCAGCTGCGACTACAGTGGGAAAGCTGCTGTGCAGGAGACACCCTTATGGAGCAGGACTTGCTTCAGTGGGGCTTTGGTGCTCACTGAGTCTGCCCCTTGAGTGTGTCGCTTATGGATTTGAAAAGCTGTAATCTGGTATGGTCTCACACTGACCACTGGTACACTGGCTCTTGGGTCTCCAGGGAGGTGCAAAGTCAGCCACTGTCTTGGGCTACCAGGAAGAATCTGCAGATACTTCCTCTTTGTATTGGGTTTGGAAGTGCCCAGATGAGGCCCAACTGTGAAGAAAGGCAGGCTGGTGCTGGTGCTGGTTTTTCTGGGCCTTTTATTGATAGGTTTGCAGCTCCCTGACCCAGTTGCAGCTTGTTTGACAGAGTTTTCACCTAAGAAAGGACAGACAATTCATGTGCAAAAGCCACTGTGCACAGCTTGGGTGAGGTTGTAAATTGGGTGGGGTAGGGTCTCAGGGAATCACCAGGGCGGAGCAAACAGAAATGGCTGCCAGTCAGCCCTGCACAGAGGAGGTCCCAGCATGGGAACAATGACTGCCGCGAGCACCTCTGTCTGAAAGAAAGCCACCCCAGAGTTCCTGCCCTGATGCCAGACAGTCCAGTTTCTCGCCATATGTGTCTGGGTCCCCCAGAAGCCTCGCCTGGCACTGGAGCTCAGAGGAAGTGGGA